CTCAGCCATCATAGTCTTCACAGGAGAGATGCTTCAGCCCTCTGATCATCTTCATGGCCCTCCTCTGGACCTGCTCCAACAGGTTCATGTCCTCCTCATGCTGGAGAACACCAGAGCTGGACACAGCCTTCCAGTTTGGTCTCAAGAGTAGAGTAGGGGGGAGAATCCTTGCCCTGCTGGCCATGCTCCTTTTGGTGCAGCTCAGGGCACAGTTGGCTTTCTGGGCTCTGAATGCACATTGCCAGATTGTGTCAAGCTTCTCATCCACCAGTACCCCCAAATGCTTCTCCTCATGGCTGCTCTCAATCCATTCTCTACCCAGCTGGTATTTGTGCTTGGGACTGCCCCAACCCACATGCAGGACCTTGGGATGTTTCCCCTTTTCCAGTCAGTGGGAATTTCACTGGACCACAGTAACTTCTCGATTATGACACATAGTGTCTTAACGACCTCATCCACCAGTTCCTTCAGGATCTGCAGATGCATTTCATCCCATGAACATGTGCATCCTCAGGTTCCTTAGATGGTCTTGAACCTCATCTCCTACAGTGGGCAGTTCTTTGTTCTCCCAGTCCCTGCTTTTGCCTTTTGTGACCTGAGTGGTGTGGCTGGAGCACTTGCCAGTGAAGACTGAGGTAAAAAAGTTGTTGAGTACCTCTGCCTTCTCCATATTCCACGTAACCAGGTCTTCTGTTCCCTGCTGAAGAGAGCTCACATTTTTCCTCATCTTCATTTTATCACCAGTGTACCTATAGAAGCTCATCTGCTCCCTAATTTATTATTTCAAATAGCTGAATATTGTGTTGTATTGGATTCAACACAAGAGTTTTCACTGAGGAAGAGTTGTTAGCATAACACAAAATGCTGCCTGAGCATATTCAGACTATATTGTATTTTTGCTTTAACAATTAATCAGAAGTGCTGCGAAGTCATCAGTATTTGAATAAAGCAAAACATAATACTATACACATTAATAATGCCATAATAGATGTACTTTGAATTCAGACTTTCAAGTATGGGAGTACATGAATGTTTTAAATTTTTGTACTTGGAAAAATCAGCAGAGGGATTAAAAATAGCTCAAAAAACATACCAAACTTGGCCATAGACTTCAGCAGTGTTTGGCCACTGTGGCCCATTGAGCCCTTTATCTTCAGGGCTACTTAGGTCTTGTTTTCTTTTCTGCAAAACATTGATATAGTTTTACACCTTCACGTAACCAGAACATGTGTGTTCTAAAATGTGGGAAATAGCACACCTGCAAATTACAGTCTTGGCATCAGTTATCAATTAACTTAATCTGCTTCAAGGGTATGTTTAAAACATCATTTCAGGAGGAGATAGAAAAGAAAAGCACTTGAACTTGGAGAAGCTAGGAATTTGTGGCATTCTTTGAAGACAGTGCTGCCAGGAGGCAATAAATATCAACAGACTGGGAAAGTGCCTGCAACCAGAAGGTGGAAGTTGAACAAGATGCCTTGTTCACAATACAGTTAGAGGAAAGTAGATGTTCTTGGATTTGCTGCTTACGTGATAAGTTGAAAAGGCGTAGTTCCTGTTTGTACTGTGTAAGTCTTATGACTTGCTTGTGCTGGTTTTGTACTGCTGTGAAGAACCTAAATTCCAGTTGCCATATCTCTCAAGTGTATAAGGTCACTTGAATCTGCCACAGGTTGTTTGGTACTGCTGCCCTTCCTCCTGCAGTAGTTTCCTTGTTTCTGTTCTCTGTCCTGGCTGTAGAGTTTGCTGTTTGGGATCTGATGTTGCTAGAAACAGGATTGATGGAAATTAGTCAACTAGCTTAGTGAGTGGCCACCCAAGCACCAACATGACAGAAGAGCAGGAGTTATGGAGTGTAAGAAGATGACAATCTATTTTAATACCCCTTGTACAAGGGGCTTAGCTTTCTATGACTGCTTGCAATCCTGTGAGCATGGGCTGCCCTTTAAGGAGTCCTTGGCAAGTACAGGGCACATTTGCAGCTTTGGGTCTGTGAGACATCTGGACAAATGTTGCCTTTCTTTTGTCCTTTCTCTTCCTGTGAGAAGCTTGGTTAGAGCAGCAAGGGCACTTTTGGATGTATGAGATGAACATCTCTGGATCTTCTAACCATTTTGCAGTTCAGACTAGCTACAGGCCACAAGTCTGAACCGTTCTCTACATGCCAACAAATTCAGAAAGTGTGGTTCCTGATTGCTGGAATGGTCTCTTCTAATGTCACAAACTTAAAAAAAACATTGAACAGCTTCTTGATTCCAATTCAGTATTAAGATGAATTCTTACTGCTTTTTCTTCCTTGGCTGCACTGGTTTGTACAAGTTTAGGGGGAAACCTTCACCACAGAATGAATTAAATCAAGCTGAAAATTTTGTAGTAAAAACTTTAATGCCACTTTTGTTGATTGTCGAAGGCATTTAATTTGTCTTTAGTAGGTCTGTCAACTGTCTTGATCCCAAGCTACTAACTAGAATGTTAAATATGGGCTCAAGCTGTTTCTTTCTGGAAGGACTGTGAAACTGTATTTGAGAGAGACTTGTGGAAGAAAAACTTGTTTATAGTATCCAGCGAAAAGAGTGCATGGAATAGCCTAATTTGTCTGAAATAAGGTAGTTATGTTATATTTTTTTGGAGTCCGAGTTGAATCTCTGAGAGATACTAATGGTCATAAAAGCTTATGGGACACTTTGGGACACTGCAAATGGATCTTGGGAAGGCTGTTGCTGCCTGAATATTAAAAGAATAGTATTCATAGGAGAAAAATGCTCTATTGCACTGTGGAGAACTTGTGGCTATTAGATGACTACTTTTTTTGCCAAGTGGCTGATTGTTAAAGCAGAAAAACCTTCTGCCAAAGAAGAAAAGAAGTTGGATTCCTTCCATAGCTAGAATTGGGTTGCCCCAGTTTATTTAGGTGTTCAGAAAACACTTTAATTGTTACCTCATGCTTACTTCAGAAGAAATAGTCTTAATAATCCTGCACTTCTGACCCGTTGCTAAAATTACTTGGGAAAAGGACTGTTTCATTTGCTAGTCGTCCTTAATGAGCTTTTTTACCTGATGTTGTCATATCACTGGTAGTTGTGCAATAATTGGACTTGACAGAAGAACTGAGACTGAGCCAGTGGCAGTGTTTCTATAAATCAGCATTGCTCAGATCTTTGGAACTGCATTTCTCATGGAAATGCAGTTTTCTGTCTTTGCAGGGGCAGGCATCCTTATTGTTTAAAAAATAAATGTCAGATGAAATACTAGAAATGGCATTCACTTTGAGGTAATACTTTACTCTTGCAGTTTGAGTTTCCTGGTGACTGATTTCAGGAGTGGGTTTACATACTGCCTTTGAAATGGAACAGTCCCTACCTGTGGTCTTTAGAGTTCGGGGGGATGCAGTGTCTGCTGAAGTCATCTTGCATGCAAAAAGAATAATTGCATGCTAAAAGTTGCATTAGGATTTAACAGGGCAAGGCTTAGTGCAATGTGCAGATGACCCTAAAGAATTGTTTCAAACAACTGTGTTTCTTATTCATGGGAGTCAAACTCATCTTTTAAACAAATTGCAGCTAGTCATTAACTTTCATTCACCATACCAGGTTTGTTGCTAACTTAACATTTTCCTTTCTTGAGCCCCAAAAGGAAGATGAGGGAGACTCACATGACTAAGTTAAATGCAATGTGAACCCTTAAGTATTTAAGTAAAAATAGATCCTGAAGTAGAAAACTTCAGACTTCCTTTACTCATGTTTAATGTATGCTGAAATATTTTAAGCTTTTTTGATGACAGGTTGGGTTTTGGGTAGTTTAGTATTTGTGTTATTTGTTTGTTTAATACTGTTTCTCAGATTCTTGGCCAGCCATTTTTAAGACTTAAGAAAGATTCCTTTAGGAATCTGGGGAATTCCCCCATCTAGAGGGAACAGTTTGTCTAACCTGTACCTCAGCCCACAGAGTGTATTTCCATTTCAGAGCAGTTCTCATTCTCTACTCTCATTTGTAGTGGTGATGACTGCAGTGATGTTCCGAGTACCTCTAGCCCATCTTTGCTGCCTGTTCACTGCTCACTTTAGGTTAATGTGTGCCATGCAGGTTAGAGGTCAATATCTATAATAAGGCATCTGTTCTTACTACTAGTAGTAATGATAATATGTAACCTAATAGTAATAGGTAGCTCCGAGAAGTGCCATATTGCTTCAGTAATGGTAAAGGACAAAGGAGGTGTGTTGAAACATGATTTAACACTCACTCCTTTGTCAAAAGCAAAAGAAGAGTCTATCTGGGGATGCACAGCCTAGTGCTGCAGGTGTTGCATTGTTCAGAAATGTGTGTGCTTTTTCTAGCCCTTCTGTCAGTGGCTGCACTGATACGTGGTCTTCCTTTTCTCAGGTGAATCAGGCATGTGAAAAACAAATCATCCAAGTGTTTGTTGAGGAAAGCTTGGTTTAAATATGAACTGGTGTAAAATTTATTACTGTTTGGGGGATAGATGTTATTCTCATAAATTGCTTTAGAAATTAAATAAAGAGTGTTTCCAAAACTATGTATACATTCAGACATATTGCTGAATAAGTTTAGTAAATTTTAATGGCAGAATATTGTTCTTACAATTATCGCGTTGGGGTTTTATGGTATTAGGTACAAATACGTGTGTCTAACAGGACAGGGAAATTTATAACCAGTCATGTTTTAACTGTTTCTTTCTATTACCTTCTTCTTTACCTTACTGATTAAGGTTCCCTTTCCAGTGACTTTGCTCCTAAGTAGTAGCTTCTTTGACAGATTCTCTCCTACTTGAAGTAGCTTGTTCTCTTGATAGTACTTTCTCTTTAATAATATGTCCTTCACATTATTAGTTGCAATGGAAATGGAGTGAACTCTGTATATTCTGTATACTGGCCTATGTAGAAAAGTACTATTTTTTTTCTTTTAATTTTTTAATTTGTTACTACTATGTCTTACCTGTATGCAACGAGTGCAAAGATATGTAACATCAGGAGAGCCTGTATCTTAAAAAATGTTGAGAGTACTGTGCTAAACACTGTCTTATTCAGCTTATCCAAGAGCTCAGTAATGAGATACAGACCTCTAAACAGCGAAGTTTAGTCTTTAAATATCCTTGAAATTGAGAGAAAAATGATGATGTCTAAAAAGTAAATTTGCAGTGTAAGCATGCAGCTCTGAACTGCCTGGAGACCTCTCATGGGCATAAGCACAGCTGTAATTTTGTGGCTGTAGTGGGTTGAGACTGCAATGTATAATTCTAGAATAGGGGTTTTTTTTCCTTTAAATGGCTATCTTTTTACTAAACCAGATGTATAAAAGAAATTAAGTGGTCTTGGAGACTCCAAGTTATCAACATTGTGGTACCATCTTTCTTGACTCAGTAACCCCAAGTACCCATGTTTTCAGCCCTCTTACAGTATATCTCCTCTCATTTCTTCTAAATCTGCTTCATCTCCCTTCAGGAGTTTTAACTATCCCCCGTCTCTTCTTCAGAAGACAGGTACCCTGTGAAAGAGTAAATCTTAATGTAGCAGTGGGTACAAAGAAACAGTAGCAGACTCACCATGAGTCTGCATGGTGGTTGCTTCCCTGTTCTTGCACCCTCTGTGCCCTGCTGGATACTAAGGATACCAGTTTGATGGCCTAGAGCAGCCAGCCAGTGCTTCCTGCCTTCACTGTGAGTCAGAAAATGATGCTTTGCTGCCCTCATCCTGTGCCGAGTAGCTGAGTACCAACACTGTCACAGCTCATTTCTGCTCCTCCACATGGTCTGTCTCAGGAGGATCCATGTGCGAAGTGATACAGATGAAAATCCCACCTTTGTTACAGTTTATAGGTTTCTGGGGATCTGCTGCAAACAATAGTGACCCAAATTCAAATTTGCAACTTTAAAATATTTTAAACAGTCAGATAACCAGAGGAGGTTCTAGTTGGGCTAAACTAGCCCAGTTGTTCATCCAGGCATGCCAACAGACACGGTGCTTCATGTGCCTTTGAAAGATAAATGACTGTGTAGTTGGAATCCTAAACCACTGTTAAAATTACTGTACTTTTAGTCAGAATTTAACCCTGTTTTCAACTTTGATCTGTAGGGCACTTCTGTTTTTACTCTCACTGGGAGTCATATAACATACATAATATATATATGACAGATTCAGCCATATGTACTATTCCTTCAGGATCAAAGTGCCTCTGTAACAACATCATTGATTTTTTGCCTTTGTTTCCTAGGCTGTGAAGATATTATTGCTGAGAGCATCTCACTAGACACCTTAATTGCCATTCTGAAGTGGAGCTCTCAGCCGTACGGTTCCAAGTGGGTACATCGTCAAGCTCTACATTTCCTCTGTGAGGAGTTTACCCAGGTCATGACTTCGGAGGTCTTCTATGAGCTCAGCAAGGACCACCTGCTCACAGCTATTCAGTCTGATTATTTACAGGTAACCTGCAATGCAGAATACAGATGGTCCTGCTTGGGGCAGGGTGTTTTATACCATGTCTAGAAATGCGTGGGAGTAGCTGATTTTAAATTGCTCACCAGAGTGAGTTTGTACCCGCTGAGCACTCCTTTTGTAATACCCAAAAAGTGAAATTGAAGTAGTGATTAAGAAAACTGTTTTGTCTTGGCTTGTAACACAACCCAAACATGGTACATGCTATAGGTTAGAAGTCTAATAATTGTTTGTAAATGGATGAAAATTATTTTAAACAAGGCATTTCCGAACCTAACATTTGCCTTGCGTGTTTAAGAATTTTTTTATAAAATTATGTGCTGTAACAACATACATACTAATTTGAGTCAGTGGGAGCTAATAAACTAGTAATCATTCAGAAGACTTAATTTATTTTTGTGGAAAGACAGAAAAATACCTTTTCTGACAAGTATTGCAGAATTATTTTTTTTCTGACTTTCCTTCAGTAATTGTGTGTTTTTAGGGAGAGAAAATCATACTGACAGGTAGAAAGCTTCTGGATTTTTGCTGCCATTTCTCTTCAGGGAAGATATCTTTATAATGACAACCAGCTTCTTAGAGCTTAAAAGATGACTGGGTTTTTTTTTAGTTGTATCCATTCAATCTTACCTTTTTTAAGGGATAAAATCTTAGAGATTATTTAAAATGGATTTTTTGAAAGTTTTGTTTACCTCAAACATTTCAGAAATTACAGTTAACGGTACCATTGATCTTCTGTGAGAGTGTATATTTTGACTAAATTTCCTACCCTAGTTGTTAAGAATTTACATAGATAAGTTTAACTTTTTCAGTAAATGATTTTTTTCCTGTAAGAATGTTGAGTGGTTAGCACATGTATATAGGCATGAGCAAAGCAAAGTTATTTTATTTTTAGTATTACTGAAAATCTTTCTCTTCACATAGATTATAATCTAGTGGGGTTGATTATTTTCATAGCTTTCCAGGCTGTGCAGATGCTGAATTTGTAATGTTAAACAAAAGATCCAAACCCCCAGAGGTAGAACTGCCCCTTTTAATTAAATTCAGTAATTCAAATTTAATACCTGTAACTTTCCCTAGTAAATAAAATTTCTCCTTCTGTAGAAAACTCCTTTACCTCTTCCTAGGGATTTAATAAGTGGCATGAATCTAGAAATTATGGTGGTGATATACCAGCAGTACTACCTTAAAATATTAGGAGAAAGTGGTTGGCAGATCATAAAGTGCAAATCCTTCTTGCCTTGTTACAGTTGTGCTTCTTTAGCACTGTAAAAGACCTGTGTATGTGATTTGTGTGTGTGTGTGTGTGACATTAATCATATGCAGATCACTGACTTTCTCTTTCTACCAGGCAAGTGAACAAGATATTCTTAAATACCTGATTAAATGGGGAGAACACCAGTTGATGAAGAGAATAGCAGATCGAGGTGAGGATCCTTTAAACCACACAGTACTAAATCAAATAACCCAAAATTTGTGAAAGTTCTATTTTGGGGGTAACTTAAGGAGATTTAATCTACTGTGTTCACAGTATAGCCAAAACTAAACAAATGAACTTGTTTTTTTTAAAGTTTTTGTTCTCTAACTGAAATACAAGAAATTCTGTTTAAAGAGAGGAAACTGAAGATGGTCAGAGACTGGAACAGGTTGCCCAGAGTAGTTATGGGATCTCCATCCTTAGAGGTATTCAAATCCCACCTGTATGTACTGAGAGGCAATTTGTGTACTCTTCCTGGGGAGGTGTGGGATGAGGGTGGTGGTTGTGGCTGGACCAAACTTCTAGATGTCCTTTCAACTCTGTCTGATTTTAAGTCTGGTTGGTTTCCTGTTCTGTCAGAATTATTTTTCTTGTAACTAATTCATCAAATAAAAAAAAACCCCTGCAGTATCTTTTACTTTCCTGTGCTTATGCAGGCTTCTCACAGTAGTCTTATTCTTAGTTTACTTAGTGTCAGCCTTTCACTTCAGTTAGAGTATGTCTCTCCCACAGAAATCTATGGTGGTGAGAAATAAGCCAAAAAACGGCAGTAGTGTTTTCCCTAAAGTAGATGTAGATGTATTTTTATGAGCCTGGATGCACATTGTTGCTACAGTGGTAATTTCAAGGGCAATCTCACCTGTTGGATATAGGAAGTAGGTAAAACATATTTTCCAAATAGCAAATGCAAGTAGCTTGTAGTTCATCCAGGCTACAAAGTATCAATCACACAGTAAAAGGGGAACAGAAAGGGAAGAACTTGCCTGTGTAAAGTGTGACTGCTGTCTTTGGAGGACTGGCCATGTTTTTGAAATCTGCTGTTATTGTTTGCAAAACAACTACTTTGTCATGCTTTGTCTTACAAAATGCAACAAAAAGTCAGTTAAAATGCAACAAAAAGTCAGTTAAAAGATTTGCTTCTGGTGATCTGAGTAAGTATTAACCTGTTTTCAAAACAAGATTTTCAAAGTGTTTGTCTTAGTGCACATTAAAATATAATGGAACCAGTTTAACATTAACAGACCTGGACTGGGGCAGAAGCTGCTCATTTGGAATAACTGCACAGCTTCCTGCTCTGTGGCATTCATTAAGTAAACAACTGACTTCTCTTTCCCAGGATCATCAGATAACATGATAAGCAAAGGCAGGAATAAGAGCTATGTCAAGTTCTGTCAGATTAGGGCTGAATTTAGTCTGGTAATTTCATCTAAATTCCTCAGTGACACTCCTGAGTTTACAGTTCTGAATATGTGGTGGTGTCACTCAAATGCCACAAAGCATTAGAGATTGTAATGAGCTCGAGCTGCCTGAACTGAAGGAGGATGGGTATGTTTGACAGGTTTCCTCAAAGAGTGAAGCTGGTCAAATTCAGGTTGGACACAATACCTAAAATAAACGTGAAGGCAGTTAACTGGGGAGGAAGAGTGACCTGAGTGTGTCATACGTTGTATCTTACCATCTCTAGGAAGGTACTCACGCCTGACATAACTAGGTATCCTATGACCGTGAGAGCAATGGAATGGGCTTGACACTCTTGTTACTAAGGTGGGCTACACAGTGAGGTTAGAATAATGTATCCCAGTGGACTCTTCAGGCCTTAATTTGTGGAAAATAAGTCTTTGAAAACTGCTGGGGAAAGGTAGAGGAGCTGCAGGAGGGAGTCCTGGAGGGAACTGCTGTCAGGAAGGTACAAATGTTTTCATAGCATAGCTCTTGATAGAGCTTTACAAGCTTTACCCCAAACACTGTTTTTATTTTCTACCTGGCTTACACTTACTACCTGGCAGCTGCGCAAATGACCTGTGTTTGTATAAACTGAACCTGTCTCTATGGATGTTCGTTTCAGGTTTTAAGGCATGAAATAGAACCACAGAATCATTTAGGTTGGAAAAGACCTCCAAGATCATAGAGTCCAACCTCTGAATGATCACCACCTTGTCAACTAGACCACAGCACTAAGTGCCACATACAGTTGTTAATTTTCTGGAACAAATCTGATGAGCACTGTTAATTTAAAATGAGAATTTTGTTTCCTTTTCTATAACTTCCTGGAAGCCCTGTAACTCCTGTTATCCTTTTCAAACTTTTTGATGTAAAGTTGTTCTTTCCCACAGAGCCTAATTTACTCAGTGGTACTGCTCACAGTGTGAATAAAAGAGGTGTGAAGAGGAGAGACCTTGACATTGAGGAGCTGAGGGAGATCCTGTCTCCACTTCTGCCTTTTGTCCGCATTGAGCACATCTTACCCATGAATAGTGAAGTACTGAGTGATGCAGTAAGTCAGTCTCATACAAATACCGTTTGGGTTCTTCGTACTTCAAATGCTACAATGTTCACATGTGGGGTTTTTTTTTTGCTTTAGTGGGTGTTGGGTTTGTTTGTTTAAAGCATTAACTTCTAAAATGTTATCATTGAGAGTAATACATGTATAACACACTTTTTCTGGTTAAATTTGCTGTTCTTTAGATCTGTCAGAAGGCTAAAGAAAAATCAATAGTGGCTAAAGAAAATTCAGTGTAAAAATGCATTTATTGCAAGCTTTTACCGTATTTATATTTAAAAAACCATAAACCTCTTTCTTGATTCTTAAAGATGAAGAGAGGCCTGATTAGCACTCCTCCTTCAGACATGCTACCAACATCAGAAGGTGGAAAGTCAAATGCCTGGCTGCGGCAAAAAAATGCTGGGATATATGTGCGGCCAAGACTGTTCTCGCCATATGTGGAGGAGGCTAAGGTAATAGTCAGCAGCAGCACTCGACTATTGTCACATCTCATCAGGGGGTTCTGTAAACAGGGAAAGATTTTGGTATGTTTTGTGTCTCTTTACATGTACTGGCCTAAAATACTAACATTTTCAATTTAACAAGACTTACAAGATTGATCATCAGGCTCAAGTCTCTAGAACTGGTCAGAAAAATTTCAACAAAATTTTTTTTTGTCGAAATTGAAATGTTTGCGAGACAGATCTTGATGAAATTCCACCGGAAACAAAGCAGCGTTCTGAGGGAAACCTCCCTGGTTTCCAGCCAGTTTGCCGGCCCAGCTCCTCGGCAGCCCTCCTGGCAGGCGGATGGCAAGGTGAGAGCCTGAGAGTCCCAGTTTGCAGCTAGTCAGCAACTTTGGTGCCAGGTCTTTCAGGCTCCCCAGCTCCCACCAGAGCTGGGTGGAGAACTGCTATTCCACTCAGCAGAGGACTCTTGATATTTCCTCTTCTTGTTTGAATCAGAACATACCCAAAAATCTTGTGATCCTCCGCAAAATGGAATAAATATCTTGTGTCCCATATGAGTAAAGTCCTTTGTGTCCCTCTCAGGCAGTAGCTTCCCTATTTAATTTCTTGCATGAGCACTGTCAAACTGAAGATCTTGCAGCATCTCTGATGTTTGGTGACGGGGGCAGATGT